AGAAAGAAAGAAAGAAAGAAAGAAAGAAAGAAAGAAAGAAAGAAAGAAAGAAAGAAAGAAAGAGTCATACAGTGATTATATCTTCCATGCTGTGTGATGTGTTGATGTATCATGTGTTGTGATTTTTAACTTGTTCCTGGTTCTTTTTTCTTTTGGCAGCTTTTACCGAAGTGGAATCTCTCATGCCTTTGAAAGGGGCCCAACTCTCTAAAGAAGAATTGATCCATTTCAGTCAACTAAGCGGTAAACGTCCAGGAATCTAAATTCTTCCAGTGAAAGCCAAGAAAATGTTCTGGGAGTTAAGAGAGAGCTGACCCCTTTGCAAGAAGCTCAGAATTAGTTCTCTCAAGCAAAAAAATGGTAACTGCAAGCACTTGATGAAGCCTTGGTGAACGTATTGGCAGTGTTGGCGTCAACTTGTAGACCAGGTTGACCAACTCAAGGCTGGAGAGTCTCGAGTTCAATTCCTGGGAGTTCAATGCTGAAATCCTCTAATGGAAGGATCCCAAATGAGGAAAGATCACTTCCTTGCCATAGAACAGGGTCTCTCAACCTTGTCAACTTTAAGAAAGATGTGGATTTCAGCTCCCAGAATTCTTGATCTTCACCCAACTTAAGGTTGGCAAGGCTGAGAAATGCTCCTATAGACCATCAAAGTACAGTTAGTCCTTGACTTACAACAATTCATTTAGCGCCCCCCCAAAAGGTGACTTATGACTGTTCCAGCATCCTGACAGTCACGTGATCAAAATTCAGATGCTTGGAAAGTGGTTCGTATTTATGACGGGTTGCAGGGGTCATGCCTTTTGTGACCTTCTGACAAGCAAAGTCAACGGGGAAGCCAGATTTAATGACGGTTGTGACTAAACTTAACAACTGCCATGATTCACAGGGTCAAGAAAGGTCATAAAATGGTGCGAAACTCACCTAACAAATGTTTCTCCAAGCCACCGAATTTTGGGGCTCAGTTGTGGGTCGTGAGTCAAGGACCACTTGAAAACAGCCCTCATTTAATAAATGGATACTGTATTTAGTATCAATACTCTTCTTTATCTTAGTCTCTTCTCCTGAAGACAAAGACAGTGCAGATGTCTTGAAGGCAAGTCCTGAAAAAGGTAGGTGACCTGGATTTAGCCAGAGATTTAAGATGGTACCATTGAAGTCTGTCCATCATGAAAGTATGAGGTGGTGTGAATGTTGTGGCCTGCTGGACACAGGACCTTCCAGCAGCCAAATCAGAAGAGGAGGAGGGGGATTGGGAGTCAGGGTCAGCATCAGGGCAACCTGGGAGCTCTGAGGGGGAAGAGGGAATGGAACTGTCAGAGAGAGAGAGAGAGAGAGAGAGAAGGAGGAGGAGGAGGAGGAGCCTGGGCTGTCCATCAGTCCTCAGATGGAGAGTCAACAGCCCCCAGGTCTGGAGGTGGCTGATGAGGAAGAGGAGGAACAGCTGGGTCCAGTGCCTGACGCGCGGATGCACAGAAGGCAGAGGAGAGCAGTGGAAATCTATGGGCCGGCCCTTCGGATGGAAAATCTGACACTGAGAGCCAAGCCCCACCCTAGCTCTGGGGATAAAAGGGAGGGGATGCAGATGTGGCAGACAACTATTAATCTCCCTGCCGGACAGACTTGTTAGCCTGCAAGAGAAAGTTTTTCGCCAGGGCTGCTGGCGCTCTTAATAAAGGATGGGGATTTCCCAGGAGGCCAAGTTTTTAATAGACTTCGCTTTTGGGGGGGATCAGGGTTGAGGCTGATCGTGGCTTAGCTTGCATATGTCAAGTTTCCCCTTCTTACGTGCTACCGTCGGCCGTCTTTTGGAAAGTGTACTGGAGGAAGGGAAGAGGGAGGGTGAGGCCAAGCTTGTAGGGGTTAACAATTAATCCTGCCTTGAGGTCACAGCTTAGTACTAAGAGCGTAAAGTATGAGAGTTGCAAGGCTAGATGGCAGAAACATTAAAGCATTATGTAGTGATTTTTTGCAACCATCTAGAAGCTCGGCCTGGCTGAAAGTTTTTGATGGAGGGGCGATGAAGCTTCAGCTAGAAGCTGCACAGGCTCCAGAGTGACCTAGCAGAAGCTGTTGAGAAAACAGGACAATTCTTCTGAATTTGACCTCTTCCTCCAAAGCAGGGAAAGGAAAAGTGGACATCCAGGCTTACTTGAAGCAGTGGCAAGACGAGATCCTTAAAAAGGAAGAAAACATTAAGGATTTGCCCCGGATGAACCAGGTGGGAACTTTTCTGGAAGCAAGTATTTTGTTCTAGTGAAGTATTTCTACCTTGCCTTAATGCAAGTCGGGTAGAGGTATAGCAAATATTGATAGAAGAGAATATGTGTAGCTCAGGATTGAACCGTGGGGTCCTTGGTGCTCTCTGGGCTTCATGGTTTTCTTGCAGATGTTCCCATTACCCTACTAGGTAACATCATCAGTACTAAAGCGGGGGAGGAGGAGGTGGAAGAGAGCTGTGGGGTCCTTGGTGCTCTTTGGGCTCGGTGGTCTTCTTGCAGATGTCTCATTACCCTACTAGATAATATCATCAGTGCTAGAAGGGAGGAAGAGGAGAAGGATGATGGTGGGATCCTTAGTGTTCTCTGAGCTTGGTGGCTTTCTTGCAGGCGTTTCATAATCCAACTAGGTGACATCATCAAGGTTATGATGATGATGATGATGATGGTGCAACCTAGTTTGGGTCATGGAACATCTGCAAGAAAGCAACCAAAGTCAGGAGAGCACCAAGAATCCCATTTAGCAAATGCTGCTAAAGTTCAGGACATCAAAATATAATGTCTTCTTTGACCTGGAGATCTTCAGGCCTGGTGGCCTACAACTCATAACCCCTGCCAGATGAGCCATGAAGTTGGGAGGTGATGGAGATCGTTATTCGATGCATCTTTAGGCCCCTTGATGGGGAAATTTAGCCAAGAAAACCATTTTAATAAAAAGCTGCGTGGTGTCAGGATTCCAGCAATCTCCCTAATTAAATCATGATTCTCGAGCCAAACTTCAACAAGCTTCAAAGGATTCATTAGAGGCGACATAGTGGCACTGCCCTGTATCCAGCCAATTCTGGCATATGTCATTTACAGTCCCCTGTGACCCTGTTCCCCCCCCACTCTACACCCGGGTGTCTCATAAATCAGATTCTCCAATTGAGCACATTCACAGGCTGGGTGTCATCAATCACGTTCTCCACATATTCACGAACAAAATCTCTGGTATTTTAAGTTACAATCTTTTAAAGATAAGAGTTGGAATGTACTTTCGCTTCCCCCCCCCCTTTTTTTTTATGGCAACTGCTAAAACAGGCATAGGAGTGTTTGATGAGTTGACACCTGGCTTGTTCTGTTGATCCACGTACCCCTTCCCCACCCCTCTCTCCCTTCCCAGTCCCAGTTCATCCAGTTCTCCAAGACCTTGTATAACTTATTCCACGGTGATCCGGAAGAAGAACTCCTGTTCCGTGCCATCGCTACCGTTACCGGCCTCTTGCTGAGGATGGAAGAAGTGGGACGAAAGCTCCAGAGTCCCACGTCCCCAACCCGTAGAGGAACATCTCCCACGGTTGGCCCTACGACCTCAGAAGCCTCCCAGACTGGGGACCCAGCAGCCCCTACCTCCAGTTCCTCCAGTGAAGAAGGCTGGTCGTTCGCTTTTGAGCAGATCCTGGCCTCTTTGCTCAACGAACCTGCCTTGGTGAGGTTTTTTGAGAAGTCCGTCGATGTCAGAGCCAAATTGGAAAAAGCGAAAGCCACTCAGCTAAAAGCACGAGCCGGCGTATAATAACCCCCTCTTTCCTCTGTGTAAAACAATCCCAAAACAAGGAGGTAAACCATTCGAGTTTGACATGCACCCTGAAGATTTAGTCCAGTTCCCTTAATGGCAGGGCGCTGTACGTGGCTTTAATTGTAATTTTTGTGTGGGGCGGGGGTTCAAGTTGTATGAAGCACAACTGCACCCGATCTTTGCATTTTAATACACCAGATTTTTATAAGGCCAACACAGAGCAGCTTGTGGGAGGGGAAAATAAAACCCTAGATTGTCTCCTTAAGAGTGCAAGATTTCCAAGTACTCACTTTTCAGGCCCCCGTTTTGCTGGGTCGTCTTAACGTCGGCAATTTTTTTTTTTTTTTGCGAAGAGTTTCTTAAAACTTGGAATGTAGGTCTGTTTCATGCACCACAGGCAGGATCTCTGACCAGTTTAGGATACCGATTTAGGAAAGCCGTTCGTATCCATCGAAGGGAGAAGGCAAGAATTTTTTAAAAATATACATCTCTTTAAAGGCAGCGCTTGCCTCCCACTGAAGCGGACAGCGTTCAGTTTTTGCAACTCTGCAAAAAATCTGGACAACTCGCCAGGGCCAAGAGTTACACTAATACCCAAGAAAGGGTGGAACAGAATCATTGAAGGATGCAAAAAGGAGGGGACAGAACAGAACAAAAATTTAAATATATTTTTAAATTTTATTTTGAATAATTAAATTGATTTCTTAGATTGTCCTGCGGTGAGTTAGCCTCAGCGAGTTAGTTGGCTGTGGCAAATCATCCCATTCTTCTTCTGGACATTTCTTCTACTCAACATCCAGAAACCAGGGTAATTTATCCCAATTTTACAAGCAGGGAAGTTGCGTCATACTGCAATCTTCCTCAAAGTTAAGTAAAATTCTGAGGTTTCCCCTTTGAAAAACCATCTAGTCAAGTCAAACGAAAAGCTAGGAACAGAAATTCCAAATATTTCAGCTGCTTTAATTCTACATACACAACGCTGAAAATGACTTGAGAGGGGGGGAAAGCTATTTAACTCTGCGGTAATTCCTTTATGTATTTTTCCTCTTTTTTGGGTGGAAACCATTATTTTCACAGGGTCCAAGATCACCAAGGCGTTTAGTAAAAAAAAAAAGGGTACTAGTAAGAAAGTTGGATGCTATTGCACACACACAAAAAACTCATCTTCGTGTTGCCCAGATGGGTTAAGCCTGACCCCCAAAGGGTGAGGCTTAATGTTGAGCCAGGATCTAGTACTTAAATCCTAGAGATCGAGTTATGTTTCAGGAGGAAGGGACTTGAAGTTGTAGGCACAAGAATCAAGGATGAAATCCTGCCAGCCTCAGGTTTTGTAAAAAAAAAACAACCCATGGATTATGAGCCTGAAGCTAACTCATCGCTATTGGAAAATAGAACAGTGAAGCTTTATTCGTTACGAGCAAAAAATAATTAGAATTCATTCTTCAAAGACTCTCCAAGAATCTTATTCCTCACAGACTTTTCAAGTCTTTCAAGGATGAGAATTTTTTTTTAAAAAAAAAACCCAACCTCTATTGCCTTTAAAACTCTTTTCAATTTACCTTAATCCAAACAGTGCTTTAGTAAAACAAAAAACAAAAAAACCCACTCATCTTTGCAAACTTCAAATTTAAAAGTGCTGCTATTTTTTAATTCCACCACAGTTGAGGATGGTGGCAACGTTAGACAGGTATATATTTTTTCAAAATCCAGTTGTTTTCTGATATGCCAAAAAATAAAATAAAACCCACCCCAGTTTTCTCCAATTTAATGTGCTCCTAATTCTAATGTAATGGAGAAATAGGAGTACCAGGGATATAAAAACCCAGTTTTAAAGAAAGCTTCTAGATCTGGGCTGTGTAATGCAAGAATTCTTCAGTTTGAAAGTATTTTTTTATAAAATCTGGAATTAGCACCACCGACAGAAATTCAAAGATTGATTTAGGCCAACTTTCTTTTTCTTCTTTCTTTCTTTGCTACTCATGGCTGCTAAATGACCAATAAAACTAAAAGATAAAAAGCATTTATAAAGGGAAAAATATATATATATCTCGATAGAAATTGTGTCTTTTTCAACAAAAGTATATAAAATGCAATTGTGGATGGCTGTATGAATGGCATTTTTTATAGTATGTTTTCCAAGAGACCACTACAAATACTTGCGATAAACAAGTATAAGTATATGTATATGTATGTATGTGTGTGTGTGTGTGTATGTGTGTGTGTGTATACTATGTATATATATATATATATATAGTATTCAGCTTTGTTTGGGTATTTTCCGACGTCATTATAGTTGTGCTTTTAAAGTTGTAGCAATGTTTTGGCAGAATCTCATCTGCCATCATCAAGCTTCTGTATTGTGTTCGTCTGTGAGTCAGACTTTCACAGCCATTTCAGTTTTAAATTTGGGGCTAGCCTACTGCTGTGCCACACAGCAAACTCCAAGACCAATAAACACAGACCAAGACTCCCAACCAATCAGGATGAAGAAAAAACCATTCTGGCACAGCAGTAGGCTAGCACCAAATTTAAAACAGAAACGGCTGTGAAAGCCTGACTCACAGATGAACGCAATACACAAACCTGATGATGGCAGATGAGATTCTGCCGAAACGTTGCTACAACTTTAAAAGCACAGCTATAATGATGTGGGAAAATACCCGAACAAAGCTGAATACCACACACACACACACACACACACACACACACACACACACACATATATTAAAGCTTAGGATTGAATTGTCTTATAAAATATATTACACATGTATATATTATTATCCTTGAGGGGAAAAAATCATAATATTATGGTACAGAACTAGTTTACTTTCTTGTCTCCTGTATGATGAATGTTTATGAAGGAGCAAAAAAATGTATTCGGTTGAGTCACTTTTAAGCTACTTTTAAGAATCAGAACTTTTAATTTCTGCTTCAGAGTAAAATAAGACCCACAAAATACCTCCTTCCTTTCCTATGCTGAACGTAATCCAGGAACCATCAGGCACCACACGACGTGTCTTAAAAGTAGAGTTTTATTTTTCTTCCAAAATAATATGTACAAATCTGCTGGAGGATCTAAGGACATGGTTTAACAAGGATTTGAGAGGGTTCCAGTCGATCCTGGTTTATTGCCCCCTGGCCCCTGCACCAAACCTCAATAAGACACTTTCCTCACGCTTTATTTATTTTTTTCCCCCATTTTACAAAATACTTTATGAATAGGAACATTTCTTTTTTTAAAAAAAGTTATCTATATTTGACACCGTACAAAATAAATTCAATATTCAATTTTAAACCTTCGCTTTTTTCTTTTTCCCTTTTTGTTCTTTCTTTCCTTCCTTCCTTCCTTCCTTCCTTCCTTCCTTCCTTCCTTCCTTCCTTCCT